GATCTTTCTAAATAGCTCAATTTTTGAAAGACATTCTAAACGTAATTGCATCAGAAAGTTTAAGTTGGTAGTAATGCCGAGTGCGAAATTAACTTGGCATGTCTTGTATAGCTAGAAGTTGTTAATGTAATTATTTAATCTTGAAAAGAGCATGTGGAGAATTCCCTTTACAAAGAAAAACAGAAGAGAGAGAGAAAATGTTACTTTATTTATCTTATAGTTTAATCAATTTGAAAAAAAAAATTTTACAAAATTTGAGATTTGTAAAGATTTTTTAATATTAAACTTTTAAATATTGCGCAATGCGATATAGCATTTAATACAATTTTTTATATCTATGATAAGGAGCTGTTATTGTATCGCGAGTATAAAAATTGCGATGTAAAAGCCAGGGTATGTGAGTTATACGATCCGTTAATACCAGAGAGATTGACGCAACTTATCGAAGCGGTAGGAAGCGCAGTAAAGTTGGGCTTTAACATAACGAGCAGGTGGTACTTGCAAATTTTTCGTCGCGGTCGAGTTTCTATCTCATTTTTCTCACGGACTCTTCGTCCGCTTGCTCTCATATATCTGTCACGATTATCGTATGGCTAACTTTAAAACAAGGTTCGCAAAGTTTGGAAGATTTTTCGTTCACATTAGATTACAAAATCCGATGTTTAATGTTCGAAAAAAATGACAGACAACACATGATAATGAAAATATTTGTAAAAGTATTTTTATTATATTATTTCTGATTATAACACATACACATGTAGACATGGGAATTATATATGTCAAGGTAAATTATTAGCTCTACGCTCGCACAGTTCCGTTTACATTCCCGTTATAATCCGGAAGTTTTTCTCCTCACTTTAATTTTTTTATTTTTGCGTGCGAATCTTAGTGCGACGCGTCGCGTCCATTATTCATCGCGAATTCGACGTTTATTCGCCCGATATCGCACCGCTATAAATTCCTCATTCGTAGCGCGTGCAATTTGCATAACTCGATGTCGTCCTTCGTGCGGCGTGGAAATAAATTATCGGTCCGCGTAAATCATCCCGCACGAAACACGCCCTTGCGATGATCCGCGCGCGCACGCAAAAGAGAGAGAGAGAGAGAGAGAGATACGAGTGAGCGGGGTGACTCAACCATTAAGAATTTCTTTCTCTCTTTCTTGGTTGGCATGCGAGACCTTTTTCGTTGGCTCGTCCTTAGGTACGCGTCGCACGCGCATCACGTGTGGCGGTGCAACTGCAACTGCACGCACTCCGGCGGGAATAACAAGTGGGATTTCGCCCTAAAAAAAAGCGTAACGAAGACTGGCGGTTCTCTCAAACTTAAACGTTAATTAAATTTTCTGATTTGTGTGTAATTGTATCCTCATATCCGTGCGCATTATTTTTAGATTCGAGTATAAAAACAGTAATAATATAATAAATACGTAAAAGAGTATTTTTAAGAGAATAGAATACATATCTTAATTATTATTGAAAATAAAAAAAAAACATTAAATATGAAATGAAGGAAAAAGGAGTCTGATATTTGATGAGCTTGTTGGAAAAGTAGCTGATAGGAAAACATGATTATTAATAATTTTGATAGAAGTCGTATGTATATTAAAATATAAAAAAGCGTGTTTTAAAATATTTTTAGCGTTTCTACGCTTCTTAATATCTGAACGGGAGTTTTAAAAAAAGTAGGAGAAAGAAAAGAATTTTTTTTCTCTCGCACAAAATCATCTTTCCGAGATCTCCGGGTATAGTTCTCGCAGAACATTCGCCACGCCAATATTCGCTCGGGTTTCCCTTCCTTCGTCCGTTTCCTGCGAGCCGTCGACTTTTATCGGCACGTCGGCGTCGCGTTTCCATCGCAGTAACAAGTTTCACGGACCAATGGATCTGCAGTCGAAATTAAATTGCACTCCGGGGAGTTGGCGATTACTCACTTTCTGGGCGATACTCTACGCGCGCGACCATCGCCTGTCGATAATTGAGTATCGGTTTTGTATGTAATAATAGCGAAAGCGAAAGAGAGATAAAGTTTACGTAGAGAGAGAATAATATACAGGAGGTGCATGGCAAACGTCGAATAATTATGCGCACAATACCTGTAGTTTGGCATTTCTTTTTCGCGGAGGAAGGAGAATTTTTTGCAAAATAACACACGGAAAATGTACGATACATTCTTGATCGCGATTATTTAAATTTTATTATTCATCAGCTTCGTAATAAAACGCGTTCTGTTAAATTCTTTCTTTGAGAAAGAAAATTGCAAACGGAAAGATTTCCGAGGCAGATATTCTCTGTTTTTAATTACGACCGGGCTCTTATTGAATGCGCGCGTTAATTTTACCATTGTCGATGATACTTGTTGCTCGCGTCCATAGTTTTATCGAGTAATTTGACATTTTATACCCGGGACTGACAGGAGGATACGTATCCAGAGCATGAAACGTTTGTTTCCGTCTCGCGGATGTCGCAGATGTCGTCGTTAGTATTCCGTACAGGCTGTCGCACTAATATGATACCGCGCATTTGACGAAATTACAGTGCAATTTCCTTCTAGAACAATACGTTCTCTTGAATGCGACATTATTGATATTATGCGTGCCACGTTTTCCTACAATCCGAAACAAAATATTTATGATGCGACCGGATCTTTACGCCGCAAGCAGCCGAGCATTAAATTGACCGCGGCATTAAATTACAGGTAAATAGTTGCAAGAAATCCGAGCGTTTGAGCGTCAAACTAAAAAACAAAGTTGAAGGAATATATGTTTTTATCTGTAATAGCACGATCAAGTTTAAAGCGCCACAAACTCACTCCTCCGTGTATTATATGAGGAAGAAAGGAGATAAAAACGAGTGTACGGCTGCATAGAAATTGAAGCATTAAATTTCCCAGTTATATTCGTTTTCCACGAATTAAACTTTCAAAACGTAAATAGATTGTATCTTGAATCTTATTGTTTAGTATTTAACGTTTATTGTCACGAAAATTTTATAATATTTTAATAGCGACGAATAACTCTCCTCGATATTTTACTAAGGAAAATTCAATTTCACGTTTATTAAGGATGTTTTGCATCTGTTTTCAAAATATTAAGAATTTAATGAAAATTGTACAGAATGTCCTTACATATGTTTAGAATCTTCGGTACAATTTTTAAATCGATTCACTAAAGCGTTCACAAGTTCTAAGGATTTTAATTTGCACCGAAACATGTGTTCTTATGGGAAACTTATAACTACGTCGATTCAAATGACAAAAACACATAATAAAATAATATTCAGAAATAATATTCAGAATTTGTTTAAAATTTGCAAAAGTTTAGATAAAGAGGAAATATTTGGTCAAATAATATTATACAAATACTAACTGGTTAAAAAGATATTAAATATGATTCAACGAAGTTAGCCATGTATCTATCTGTCACAAGGCGAAATTCTCTGCCAAAAGTTCATCATTTCGATTAACAAAATTTGGAATATTTCAGTAAAAGCGTAATAAATATTAAAAAATACATTTCTGCACTATAGATCAAATTGTAATATTCCACACAATTTCTTACTCAAAATACACCAAAGTGGATATATTCAATATTGATTTTCAGCTACTTTTTGCTGGGATTGTACATACAAAACATCCTTAACGCGTGTTTGATTTAATTTATATTGCGTTTTCTTTTTTTTTTTTTTGAAATAAAATGATTTTTAGTTTCGTTTAACTCTCTTCAGATTTTCTCTTTCCGACTTTTAGAATTTTATTTCCCGCGAATGTCGAGTACGCACCGATCGCACGCAAGAACGTAAGCACTTCGCGAGCCGCGCTTTTGTCTCGTCGGCTCTTTGTTTCCCGTCGACGGGTGTCTTCTCGGTGGGTCAATGAATCGGCCTATGCGCCGCGACGACGCTCGTCCGTGGAAAATGCGTCTCGTTCGATGCGTCGGGAGAGGCGACGCATTGTGTGACAGTTTGCGACTTTGCGCCGATGGCATTTGCACTGTCACGCACCTGCACGCATGTGTGCGTCATGTGTGGGAGACACGTGTTTATATGTCAGGCATACCAAGTTGTCTTTCAAAATATTCAATTTTCTATCGGGTTTTATTTTTAAAAAGATAAACAATTTTGTTCGGAAATATATGTTGATTTTATTTATTAATTGAAATATGAAAATATCGAGAAATATTACTGTTACATCTATGAATTCTTTATGTTCATTTTTTAAAAAAAAAATGATATTGGATTTGTCTATTTATCTTTCCCATTAAGTATTTTGATCGGAATTCAGTAAATTGTATTTCAGTAAAATTTAATTGAAATTAAACGGGAAATAGGAGCTCGCGTTTACGGAATTTAATTTTAGAAAAGTCGTCTGCAAAAGTCGTCTGCTTCAGTGCGCGTGTGTGCGTACGTTAATAGGAGAGCGGTTGCGCGTGTAGAACACTTAACAGTCGTGTGAAATCCGTCCGACGTAACTTCGTGGACATTGACGTAATCGTGCCCCAGTTGCGCGCTGGCTATTACGCAAACGTGTTGTTGTGTCGAGAATCGCGATCGCTTCTTTCTCTTGTCGTCACTCGAGCGATGAGCAAAGGGATTGATTCGTCATTCGACCTCGTGGGTCTTACGTCGAAATCTTCTCTCAATATTTGCACGTTAATTGCCACCATGTAACCATGTAACCAACATATTGTCGCTCTTTATTTAGTCGCTTAATTTTAGGATGTTTTTAAAGGTGCTAATAAAGACTTTTAAATAAAAATTTTCATATTATTTTGATAAATTTAAATATCGTGTATTGCTAGAAAATAAGAAAGGCTATAATTTCTTTAAAAATTATCCAGAGAATATATTTCTCTGGAAATATAAGCTATCGCAAAAAAATTAATCTTGCGAGATCTCTAAAATTCTCGTCCCAACGGATTAATTCATTAATATGCATAAACGAGAAAATTAGTATTATCTCAGGAATTTTCATATGACTCATATTTTATTTTGCCATTTCAGGAAATGACTGTGCCGCTCACACCATTGACGGCGATCGCCCAGACACCGCGAAAGGAGCTCGAATCCAAGTTCACCTTCAACCCCCATCTAGCAAAGGTAAGAATCGATTGATCCACCCACTCGCCGATCAAAATGGCAAACGGGAATCGAGAGTAATCATTACTCCGGTTAAAGCGCTTTGATGTTTACGGTTGCTAAGAGGATGCCCTTAATCCTTCCGTTGCCAATTACGAGTTATTTTGTGAAAGAGGATACCTTCACAACTTGATCTGAAGGAAATCTTTATTCCCAATGCCGGCTACATTTCTTATAATTTTTTATTTGAAAATTATAATGAAAAACAAGAACAAACACAAGAATTTAAAAGAGCACAATAATTATAGAATCTAAATAAATTTTTAGAATATAAATAAATTTTAAATCGAAAATAAGCGAAACAAATTTTTTGTATAGCAAGAAAAATTCATAATTAAGACTCATTAAATATTGTAGTTTCTCGACTGTAGATTCTCGACGATAACAATAATTGATAATTATATAGTCGGTAAGTGTGCTGATAATTGAAAATGAGAGATATTTGAATCAGAATGGCATAGATTAATTCCGTTATCGAAAGCACGCATATTTTCGTGGCGAACGAATTAGAAACATATGAGATTAAGTTGGTGCGTGTCTCTCGCGAACGTGATAATTCAAAAGCGTGATATCGATCGCGGCAACATTTCGGTCGTTCGTGCCACTTGGCACGATGTCAAGCACCGCGGTTGTTGGCGTGTGTGCACATGTGTATATATAAGGACCGCCGGTTGTGTCGTAGGTGATACGAAGCGAGGCAAGTTTCGCGTAATATCTTATTTGCAGGAATTAGCATTTTAGTCGCCGTGAATGCTAATCTCTGAACTAAATCGCAACGATAACACAAAGATCTGCGATAACATAAATACGAGCAATTTAACAAATATATTAATTAGTAATTGTCTAAAAAAAAAACAAAAACAAGTGCGTTACATTTTACGACTTGTCGATACATTTATCTTACTTGTAATTGATATTTAATGACAAATGTGTACATAATACGCGATCGCTATCTTATGCCAATTGAAATTGACGGTTCCGATATTTATGGCATGCTTAACTAATCGTCTAATTGAGCGTTTAATTAATCGGAATAAACACCCGGGTTACTGTTATTGAAACATGGTTTCGACAAGCGGAACATTGATACCTACGGGCGGAATAATTCTGGAGCAATAATGTCGGCCGGATGGGAAATGTCTCGGATCGCATTAATTCGAGCTAGGTCCCGTGCTACTTGGCAAGGTATCAAACGTTTGCTGCTCTCAAAAGCTGCAGCGGCCATAACGCGCCGACATTAGGGTGGGACGAGGTTGGAGCAGGGTTGACGTTGCGAAAGAGAGAGAGAAAGAGAGAGAGAGAGAGGAAGGAGAAAAGAGAAGGAAAGAGAATGCGGTGAGCCTCGTAAGAACGTCGGTTTAATTCGGGGTACGTTCTTCTTTACAACGATGTCGTTTTGCGGTAATGTTCATCCAACGTAAAAACTCCGCGCTTGACCGAAACACAGTGTTACACTATGTAAATAAAACTGCGGACGAAACTAATCCGTCTGGCCACGCACGTTTTCCTTTTCAAACTTGTTCCCTATCGCTCTCTGACAAGTCGTGACAGTAGCCTTACTTTCTCTGATATGAAAATGTATCTACGTATTTTATAGTATAATGAAGCAAATGTCTTTATAAAATAAATAATGCGATCTATTTTTAACAGAAAATGAAGAGGCGGAATTCTCTCTCTCTCTTTTTCTGTCGACAATTTTTTTTAGTTTAGTTTGAACACAAGATTACACATTATATTAAATGCCCAGCATTATATAATAATTAGATTTATTGGATTTTATGTAGATTTGATTCAAGCTTTTATTATAGCTTTTGCACTTGCAATAACATTTAAAATCACGCGATAAAGGAAGCTTATATATATAACGGATAATCAAATATAAATTTACAAAGAACAGTAATTAAATATTAAATAACGTGATTCGAAAGGGAAACAAAATTAAAGAAACAAGAAGGGAGAGAAATATTTCACGATTTATCGGAAAGTAATCGAGTAACTAATCGGATAAAAATTTGCCGGTTTGCAAGCAAGTTAACTAATTTATGCGCATTACTTATTAATATTGATTTCTGACAATTTTTATGAAACTTTGATCTCGTAAAACTTTAACTTTATCGCCGTTTTACAACGTCGCAAACTGATTTACAACGTCTGGGAGGACTTTGCGTAATATTTGCAACCTGATACCGCTGCAGGAGAGACTGCATTGCGTATTATAAATTCGTTTCCTGTTTTTACCGTCCCGTCGACGAAACTGCGGAGAGAATCGGCGGCAAAGAGCTGGGAAAAAAGTGCGCGCGGTAAAAAAGAAAGAAAAGAAGGGGAAAAGAGAAAGAAGGAGAGAGAGAGAGAGAGAGAGAGAGAGAGAGAGAGAGAGAGAGAGAGAGAGACGAGGCAAAATCGGCCTCGTAAAAGTGGATTAATTCGGACCGTCGTATATATACATATCTTTCCGGCCGAGATCCCTTTTGCGCGCGCGCGCGCACGCGCGAATAAATTGTAATAACGGGCGAATGCAAAATCGCTGCCGGCATTTTCTCCGCTCAAACGTCGCGAGAATTACTCGCGGACTTACCGGAATGAGAAATATAGCGCGAACCACCATTCGCCAAATTGTGCAGCACGTGGAATCTGTCCGCGGTCGATTTCGCTCTTTCGCAGATGAAAGGAATCGTTACGCGATATAATACCCGCATTTTGTAGACGACATAATCACCGTTTTAACAGCTATATGCGTGTTATAATCCTAGTGTTCACGTCATGAAATGAAATTCTTTTAGTTCTGTTATTTCTTCTTCCATTTCTTTTATTACAATTGATAGTAATATAATAATAATAATTATTATTATACTATTATTATACTATTCCTTTCCGAGTACCGAATAAATAAATACCGTAATAAACTCAGATTATCAAATAATGTTAAGCATATTATTAAATTCTTAAATTTCACAAACATACATTTGTCAATTTAAATAATAATAATAATAATTATTATTATTATTATTATTTAAATTGACAAATGTATATGTATGTATGTTTGTAAAATTTAAGAATTTAATAATTTGCTTAACGTTATTTGTTAATCTGAGTTTATTACGGTATTTATTTCCTCGGTACTCGGAAAGCATTTAATTATATGATGCAAGTTGATTATTTCGCGTGAAGTTTCACGGGAATGCCGCCGAGACTGATATATTATTTCATTCGCGATTACAAGAATGTACGTAAAGGGCCGCCAAACCGCGCGATAAATTTCTATTATGCTGGGAGAAGGGTCCGCGGTATCAAGGGAGACGCAGCGACGCGCTGTAAATTACTCGATGCGGAAGCTGGGAGAGACAAAGTACACTTTCGCGGTTTCCTTTACAAATTTTCCTAGATCCGTTTAATTTCCCGCTGCTTTCGCGAACTTTCTCTTTTCGCCATTTTGCAGTTTGACCGGCGTTAAATACTTATCTGCATTGTTTGGAAACCTTTTTATATAAACAATCCATGCGCGAATCGTTTGCCTTATGCCATTTTTCAAAAGCCAATATAATTATTATTCAAATACATACATAAGATGTCCCGCATTGACATGTTACTTTCTAGGAATGTTGTTGGATTTTGAAGAAAGGAAAACGATTCGAATTATTTTTGATTCAGTTTTTCCTAATGGCAGTATATTATGCAATTGCAGATATTAATTTCTACAATTAAAATTATTTTTAAGATTTGATTCGTAACCGTTGTTTAATTTTCAACATATTTTTATCTTTTGCAGTTGACAGAAGTGACTCCACCAGAACCTGCAAAGCCTCGTGAGTAGAACCTAGAAATTTTCATTATTTCTTTCTATGTTGTGTCTTCAGATGAAATATGCATGTTTGAGAGTGCGATCGTGATTTAATTGATTATTTGTCGTTGGTGGGGGGGGGGGGGCAGCTTAATATGGGTATTTAATTGCGACATTGCGTAAGAAACTTATTTTTCGCAAAATAATTGTGGCAAACAATTTATAGTTTTTATACAGTACAAATGCATATGATGCAATAAGATATTTGCATATATACAGAGTGTGTCCCAGTTATCTTCCGTCATCTTTCAAAGACAGATTCCTGGGATCATTTGAAGGCGATTTTTCCTCAGCGAAAATGTCAATAAAGGCCATCATTTTTTGCATGTTCCCGATTTTTGTCATCATATATCTTTGCAATTAAGTCTTAAATTAAGCTCTCTTATTAAAGAATTATTTAACGATTATACACATATACATACGTGTTTTATAAAAGTAGGTAGAATATAAAGTCCTTGTCAGATTTGTTGTACATTTTTACAAGCTGGTTTATTAATGTCGCTCCTAACTTTCAAGTCGAATTATATTTCGATATTTACCGTAAATATTTCGCGATAAAACACATTGTGTCAGAATGCACAATATAGGGATTAACCATCACCGGGGGATATAATTTTTCGAGACCGTCCGCCATATTCGGCGATTTAAATGGTCACGAATATTGCTGGAAACGATATTTCAGAATCATACGTATGGTCGAAGGAATATTAATCAGCGCATCTGTAACTCGCGCGTGCGGTATCGATATAAAGTTCACGGATCGATAGTTATACATATATATTCGTTAACATGTAAAAAAAAAAAACGAAGCGAGAGAAACATTCGCGGCGAAAAGCGACCAACGCGTTGTCGAACATAAAACCTGTGGATTCCATGCAAAATCTCGATCGTCGATTTTGCGGGTGCGATTTCATGAATCAACCATCCGTGACCTCTGCCATTCGTTCATTCAGCCGTTTAAGCGCTCGAAATACATGTTATTTATTCGCTCGTGCGCGATCCTACCGCGACTCATTTATCGCGAATACACAGATTATTTGCACGAAGCAATTCTCAATCCGTGGCTTAATCTCGTTATCGGTTTTTTGTAACATCCATATTTTTCGCAAGTAAAATATCGACACATCTTAATATAAACATAAACAATTTCGTGGCTTGTAAGAAACGATTTGCATAGACTATCGTTGCATTGACGTTGAATTTTTCCTCGGAAAAAAAGGCATTAACGATTATTTCGCGATAAAAATGCAACCGCGAAAACTCGAAAGCGTAATATTCGTGTAGCGAGCGTTTAAATATTTGACATCTTTTTGCGAAAATTGACGACCAGGAAGCTTTTCAACAATACTATTGTGTTCGTTAAATTTAACGTTTTTTTCAACATATTGAAACCCAAGAGACATATATTATTAAAAATTGATTAACGAGTTTTGTATTTATTAATACCGTTTACGATATATCTTCAATGATCTTCTGTTAAATGAGCAACCTGTTTATGCACGAATTAATTATAAATTTCATCAAGAGAGCTCCATTCATTACAATGAATAATAAATATGTTTGATCAAATTGATTAGCGGAATCGATGTTCGCGCAAGTAATTTCACAAAATTGCTCTTTGCAAAGTTTTATAATTCTATTTCACTTAACGGTTACATATCCGATCTGAAAAATCTGTAGATTTATCAATGTTTTAAACGAATGCTAGAACGATTTTTCATGAATTAATTACTTCCCTCCCGCTCTCTCTTTTCCCCCGCCGTTTTCTACCCGATGCTCGAATAGTGACCACTTTACAACGGCTATTATCGAGGTTACAACCATTCCTCGCCAACAATCGGGAGTTGGGCGGGACGAATTTGGTTCTCGTTGAGTAAATTTGAACTAGTCCCCGCGATAAGCCTATTTCGCACCCTTTACACAGTTGCATTCTGCGAAAATCACCTAATTCGTTTAAGCTTGTCAAAGAAACCGCGAGTTAATACAAACGAAAATACGACGCATGTACAACATGCGTGAAGATAATGGATAGACATTTTCTCTCCTAAAATTTTTTTGCTCTCTTTTCTTCTCTAAATTAAAAAACAATAAATTAAAGTAGGCTATGTATGAATAATGTAAAGTAAGATGTAGTAGAAATCATAGTAATAATAATGGAAATTCTTAAATGAAAATATCGATAACAGATATACTAGTGATGCAATAACAATTAATAGAGAAATTGATAGTGTCAAATTAAAAAGTCGATTAATAAAAATTATAATTATTATTTTAAGTTTAAATAAATCTCTGTAAGCAAGTGGGGAAATAGATGAAATTTTTTTACATAGATAACGATATTATAATTAACTCGGTAATTATGCATACACTATTGCGATTATGCAAATTGCTTTATGATGCAACAATAATTCGCGATTGAATTAAATGATATTTCTCATAACTGTGATTTAGTTGGAAAAAGATAGAAATTACTGAAATAGATACAAGCGGCTGAAATGGATGATGATAAACATTCACGTTTCTTCTTTATCAGAATTTCGTGGAATGGCATTCTATATATCGTAGTGCAATTACGGCGTATCAGTTTATTTCTCTCTGGAATCACGAAGGTCGACAGTTTCCCGTTAACGAAATTTAATGCAAGATCCGCGAACTGCAACAGGATTCGCCGAAGAATCCATTCCCGCGAATTTCTTCTGGATCAGAGAGGACACGGTTTACGTTCGAATAATATCACGTTTTCCGGAATCGATTCGATGCAAAGTACACTTGAAGAATGATCGGAAATAATAATGTCGATTCGTGATTTTTTCGATTCTTTGTTATCAAATGTTTGATAAATTACATAAAAAACGGATTTCGATTTTGATTTGAAAAGAAATTTTATATAAATTTTCCGAAAACGTATGAGAAGAGATTCTAAAGAAAAAATTGTCGATCTTATTTCGGTGATAAATCTACCTCGCGTTTGAACTTTCGCATTTCGGCTTGTTGTAGGCGCGGTAAGTTTTGACCCAGTCTGTACCTTGATGCTTCATTGAGCAAATTAATGAGGACCGCGCGACATTATTGAGCCACGCAGGCGCACACGTGTAACATCGTCGGCACAATACCCGTTGTAATATCGTGATCTGTGAGCTTGCTCGATGAACAATATTAACATTACGCAATACAATACAGATTGCGCAATATTATATCCAAGTATCTCGATGATCAGAGAAAACGCTCACAATTTTATCATATGCAGAATTAGATACAAACATAATTAATTTTCACAGGTTCTTAAATTAATTTAATTTTCCTTCAGCAAGATTTCTTTCACTTATCATCAGGAATCATTTAAATCTAGTTATTTATTTAAAGATTAGGCTTTAGATGTGGGTAGAATTCTCTTAGCATTATTATCAGACACAATTTGTATCTTGAAACTAGTTCGCATGGAGACTCTCAAAGGAAGATTCCCGAAGGACAATTTCCTGTAGTCATATTCGAGGGTCTTGTTAAAAATTCCGACGTGTCCCTTAATAAATAAGGAGCCAGTAGCGAAACGGAGTTAATTTCGCGAAGCGCCTTGATTAACGCGCGAAGGAGGCGATGGAGTCGAGGTCGCGTCGAGCTGATTAAGAGAGGAGGGAAGCGCGTTAAACGCTGGGATCCCGACATGCGTGTGATACCGCCCACGCCCACGTCCTGATCTCGCCTACCTGTCTGCGCACGTGTTGCCCACGCGGGTTAAACTCGTAGCTACGCCGCTTCCTACGAGAACATCGGTGTTAATGAGCGAAGGCGCGATCGCGTGACTGACACGACCTTTGACGAACTCCGGGCCACATATGACACCACCCGGGGTGAATGAGCGATAAACGACCATGTCGAATCGTTCATCCCTTATTCACCCTAACGATCAAACAACTCGGCAGTCGTCACGCGTGGATTATCCTTTCTATAGGGAGTCCTCGCAATGTTCTATACTTTGAACAATGAAATTTTAATTAGAAAAACTTGGCGCTGCCAATAAAATTGGCATATATTCCAGTTAAATATATATTGGAAAAAAAAATTGGAACATATTCTAATTATTAATCTAACATTTAAATTTAATTGCTTAGTTTCTTTAATTAATTTATATCGATTTATACGTGGAAATTTACACTTTTAAGCTGAACAATATACTAATAAAATTGGCAACGCCAAGTTTTTTTAATTAAAATTTTTTGTTTTGTATTAATTTTCAATTTTTTAATATCATTATTTTTGAAAATTAAAGCAACTGTTTTGTGTTTTTAATTAAAATATTTTTATTTAACTTGTACAAGTTTTCTTCTGTATACTTTTATTTATCTTGTACAAATTTTTATTCTTAGTTGGCGCAATTTTTTTTATATCACTATTTTTATAGACAATTACACTTACTGAACTTGGCGCCCTTTTTTTCTTTTTTTTTTTTTAAGTAGGTTTTTAAGGATTTAATAAAGTCACCAGTATCGAGCATTCCTGAAATATTTAAGAATCTGAATTTTGTATCATATGCTGAGTTCAAAAGAAAGAAATAAAATAAATTTCTTATCTAAATTATGAGAAAAATATTACGAGGGAGGATATTTTATTTATCTTGAGAGGAATGCCGTTTATTGTAAGTTACATCATAAAAATTAAGAACGCAAAATAAAAAAAATATAGTAGTTAAATTTATAATCTCGAATTTGTTAGCACAATTTACATCCATTACATCCATTCTGCATTATATAAACTATTAGGTTTATGTTTTAGAAATCATGATATGTGTATAATATAAGAAATTTTGTATGAAACCTTCAATATTAATGAAGTTAAACGATCATCCCAAAAAACTTAGCGAAAGCAATCTATCGGCGAAGCCGCGCAAATTCTGAAAATAATATACGATAAAACATACATTTGAGAATGATGACCATTTCCTCGGCAAATGGATTACAATGGATTACG